CCCCCCGGACGCTATTTTTAGCTCTAAAATCCGGACATGTCCGGGGGAATCCGGACGAATGGTAACCCTAGTCAACTTGTGTCCTCAGTGAGACAAAATAGCCACAACTTGTCGTCATTTATTACCTGCTGAATTTTGGTCCAAAGCAACTCTGGAATTCTGTGTCCACTGTTCTCTTATGTAATATTGCGCTATCTTTCTTTAGCAAAGATCTGGATATATTAGACCCAAATATAACTTTGAAGAATGCAATGTTTGCCCCTAGTATCAGAAAGTTACTATTTGGACTCTATTCAGTCCTTAAAATCACAGTTGCCATTTGAAAACACTGCACTTGCTGCTGAACTTTGAACATGCTAAAACAGATAGTGGAGTCTTAACACTTCTGTTGACTGCTGGTTCCACTCTTGTTCCCACAGAAATGACTTATGGCCTACTAAAAGTGAGGAAAGCTTTACGTTTTCTTTTTAACTAAGAACAGTATTAACAACTCTCTTCTAAATAAAGAAAGCTATATTCTTTTTACTGCTGTTACATTCATGCCTACATGAAAACCTTTCTGCTGATCAAACCATGGTGGCAACCAATTTTAGTTTCAAAAAGGCAAGGAAGGGTCTTTTACTGAACGCTAAATGTTTAGCTCAACCTTAACTTTACCTCATCTAGGTCAACGGGTTTTGTAAATGCTCTGAAACGTTTGTCAATGGCAAGTCTGTGTGTAACATTCCTCAAGAAAATCCTAAGTTCACGTAATGTATCCTCCTCTTGCTCCTCAAGCCGTTTCACCTCCTCGACTGTCAACTGTCGTGGCTCAGGCGGTGGTGCTACTGGAAGGACTTCTAAGGCCTGCAAAACTTAAGTCAAACAGCGGATTTAAGCCAATTTACAGGGTTTAGTTTTTCAATCAATGCATTCTGCAACACTCCAATATTTATTTTAGTGACGGTAGAGCACAGCTGGTAAAATGATGTTTGTAGCACATCCTAACCTGCTTTCTTTTTTGATGCAGGAGGCTTAGCAGCTTGATTCAGAATTAAATCTTCAAAAAATTTCCTTCTTTCTTCATTGTTAGGCAACTGGACATTGAAAACTTCTCCATAATCATCAACAAATAATTCCTGCACCTAAGGGGGGGAAAAAGATTATTTATAAAATACAAGTCACAGGATTCCTGTGATATCACAAAAAAGTGCATTTTATGTGCATTTTTATACTAAATTGAAGGACAAACTGAAGAGCACAATACAGAAGCATCAGTGATAAAAGAATTAGCTTCTTGGCTCTAGAAGGCTAGATTTCCTTAATGACTTAAAATTAGGCCTTCGTTGAAGCGGCCACATGTGGAATATGAAATAAATTCATTTCACTTGGCCCCCCAAACTGAAGACTGCTGTATTAAAGTGCGTCACTGAACTGCAGACTACACTACACCAACAGCTAAGTAGGAAACAACTGGGGGTTCTGCACTAATGTAGATTTTTTTTTTAATCATAAATTGATATTTTTAATTACATGTTACTAATTTTTACTTTTTCTCCATGTCAGAGAAATTAAATTGCTAATGTGGACATTTTGTACTTGTTTCGTTAGTTTCCTAATCTGTAGAAATTCAGATTCTACATAAAGATATTTCTTCTACTAAAGAGAGAATTCTAAGTATGAAACATTTTCGCTGAAAGACAAATCCAGGACATCATCATCTGTGAGATCACCACAAACTCAAAAAGACAACATTGATAAGCAAATGGCCAAATGGTACTATATTTGTAACCTACACCACCTTCTACAAGTCAAGAAAGCTGAAATATTTCAACAAGGTTGTAGTCTTCCATCAGGGTTTGCTGTAGTAAGTAATACGATTTTTGGCCATGATATTGACAACACATATACACATGCTTAACTTTAAGCACATAAGTAGTCCCCTTGAAGTTGATACAATTGTTTATATGAGTAATGTTCCATACCCATCTGAGTGTTTTCAGGGTCAGGGCCTTAATTTTCAATATTTTGGTTGTCTCTCCTATAGCAGCAGTTTTATAAAATTCAGGTAGGCTACCCTACCAGTAGGGGCATTAAAACAAAAACAGCATTTCTAATTCTGTTCCTTAAAAAATTTAAATTGAAAGTTGCAATAGCACAAGTTTTCAAATTAGTTTTCACAAAACCTCAACATGATTTAAATCAATGACAGAAAAACTACAAGTGATTTAAAGCTTCTTGACTTAAGTCACTGTACCCTGTTTGGTATTCAAGATTTGGTAGGCTCCTTGGAATTTTGTTATCCAGAAGACATTTGGGTCTTTTAGTACTGGGAAGGTGATGCATTTCCTTTGAGTAGGGCAGATGCAACTTTACGTTTAGCGAATGTCTGAAAAAGTTATCTTTGCCTCCTCACTAATCCCAGACAGCAATTAGCTTCTCAATTCACTTTGTCCAATATAGACCACTACAGCACACCCAAGAACAATAGATAAGCACATTAGTATGATGATTCTGGTAAAACCTGTACTGGAATAGTTTATACTGATATTTTTAAACTGTCATTAGACTTCAATGCTAACACTACATTGTGATGAATGGGAGGACTTTACTTCTCTGAGAGATACTGTTTCAGAGTATCTACAGGCTCAGTCAGACAATTACATTTGTTAACATTCGGGAGCTTTTCCTTCTCAGCTTTTAAAAACACTTATTCTGTAACACAAACATGTGGCTGCATAATCATATTGTTTATATGAGTCCTGCAATTACCGAATAAATTTTTTTTTTTGAAGTGTAAACACTCAAGTTCACTTACATAACTTCTCTCCTGATATCTACCGTGAAACAGTATTTTTCTACAAATGAAATCTACCGTAAGCAAGGATATTTGTATCTGCTTCTGCTATGTTTGCCCAAAAGATCACAGTCTTGACAGATTCATAAACCACCAGAACTAGATTAATATTAAAAAGTTATTTGAATTGAAGAGATGAAGATTATATTAAATGCACTGGCAAATAATACCTCTTCTGGTAGAGCTGCATGATGTACATCTGATGTTGCAAGCAGCAGAACTGGAGCAAATGATGGAATATTCTGTAATAATGTTGTAAATGTAGCTTTCAAAGTGAATCCAACAGTCTCCCACCATAAGTGGACATGTGGAATGTATAATATACTTGGTGCTGTTCTTTTGGCTTCATGGATCAACTAGTAAAAGAAAAGTATTGATTTGGGAATACTGAGAAACACGTGAATAGGTCACTAATAAATAATTAAAGTTCAACTAGTCACTCCTATTTCACAGTTGATATACTAAGTAAGCAACAACTGGGAAAGAACAATTCTTAATACTGAGGCAAGCTTCTGCTTTGCGTCAACTATGAAACAAACCCAGTCATAAATTACAGGTGATTTTGTAAAAAGAAACAGAGGGTCCTGTGGCACCTTTAAGACTAACAGAAGTATTGGGAGCATAAGCTTTCGTGGGTAAGAACCTCACTTCTTCAGATGCAAGTAATGGAAATCTCCAGAGGCAGGTATAAATCAGTATGGTGATTTTGTATAATTTTATTAAAATTAATAATGTCTTGCCTAGAGTAGAGGGAAAAACAACAAAACAACCCAGGATTGAAACCTATTTGAATATTACCATAGGCATGACTCTTCCAGAGAGAGAGGTAGAAACATTAAGAAAATGTGCATTGATGTATGTCAAGGAATTTTAACACAACACTTTGCTCTGGGATTTTCATTACCTTCTTATTGTGCACAGTTTACCAGTGCAGACACCAAGAAAGTGGTATGGGGGAAAAGAATTAATTTTGATGGGATGAGGATAATCATTGTTAGCCTGACAGCATGGATTCTAATGAAAGATCAATGTGTATTTTGGAAAACAGTCTCCTACCTTCCTTCTGGAAAGATGAAAAACTGAGCACAAGAAAAGATGAATCATTTTAAGATGAGAACCTATCCTGCCGGAGATCAGACAGGGAGGAAGGATGGCCAGCCCAGTGGTTAGAGAGCTGGCTTGGTCCATGGAATACCTAGGTTCAATTCCCTGGTCTGCCACAAACATCCTGTGTGACCCTGGGCAAGTAACAGTCTCTCTAGGTCTCAAGTCCGCATCTGTCAAATTAAGATAATAGTGCTTCCCTACAGAGGTAGATTAAAGATTACAAAGCACTCTGATGTTACTGTGATGGGGGGCCACTTAAGTGAAAAACAGACATAACCACAGATTCAGTCAGCAAAAATCATGGTTTCAGATTTCTGAAAGGGGCACTTTTATAACTATACTAATAGAATTGTTGGGGAACAGCTAAACACAGTCCTACCTGAATAAGCCCCTTAAAATGCAACAGGTGAAATTGCTGACAAGGCTTGCTAAATTTTGAGCAAAAAGTCCCCTGAAAACCCACATTTAGAAAAACTAATGTCAGCATGTTTTTATCTTATGAGAGTTAGGAAGGTTATGGAAAACACCACGCCCTACCTAAATAAAGATTATGTTAACGAATAATTTAAGATGTTACATATGTACTGAACTATGATATTAAAAGATAGAAAATTGCTGAATGGTTTAAAAAAAGGAAAAAAGAAGCAAAGGAAACCCCGTTACGAACCTTCTGTAACTGCCGTTCTTCGAAATGTATTTCTTATGTCCACTCCAAAGTGGATATGTGCTTGCCCCAAGCACCGCTGGCCAGAAAGTTTTCCCTCAGTGGTATCTGTCAGGTTGGCTCTGGTGCCTCGTGGGGTTGCATACTCACAGCACCAGTATAAAGGGTCCCACCAACCCGCATCCCCCTCACTTCTTTCTTAATGGCTAACTCCATTAAGCAACATGAGCAACACATCTCGACGAACAGTTATGGAAGGTTAGTAACCATTTTTTCTTCTTCTTCACGTGCTTGCGCATGTCCATTTCAAAGTAGATGACTCCCAAGAAGCTGCGCAGGTGGAGGGTTGAGTGTTCATTGGCATGCTGATTGTAATACTGCTCGGTTGAAACCTGTGTCATCTCTCACCTGCTGGTTGATGGCGTAATGGGATGCAAAGGTGTGGACTTACAACCACGTTGCCGCTCTACAAATGTCCTCTGAACTACAAATGCTACTGGAGATGCTTGAGACCTTGTGGAACGCGCCGCCAGGGCAGGAGGAGCGGGGACCTTCACCAGGTCATAGCACGTGCGGATACAGGAAGCAATCCATGAAGAAATTCTCTAAGCCAAGACTGAAAAGGCTACAAAAACCTGAGTAGACTTCCGAAATGACTTAGTCCTTTCTATTGTGACAAAGTTCCCCCTCTATCTTGGTGGGTCCTGCGCTTATTGGCGGATTTTCTTGCCTCAGAGGTTCACCATGTGGGTTGGGGAACAGCCCAGAGACCTTCCCCTTTGGAAGAACCCACAGTCCAGGTCAATTGGGAGGTTTGGGGGGAACCCGGGCCCGCCCTCTACTCCGGGTTCCAGCCCAGGGCCCTGTGGACTGCAGCGGTCTATAGTGCCTCCTGTAACAGCTGCATGACAGCTACAACTCCCTGGGCTACTTCCCCATGGCCTCCTCCAAACACCGTCCTTATTCCCACCACAGGACCTTCCTCCTGGTGTCTGATAACGCTTGTGCTCCTTAATCCTCCAGCAGCACACCCTCTCACTCTCAGCTCCTTGCGACTCTTGCTCCCAGCTCCTCACTCGCACCACAAACTGAAGTGAGCTCCTTTTAAAACCCAGGTGCCCTGATTAGCCTGCCTTAATTGATTCTAGCAGCTTCTTCTTAATTGGCGCCAGGTGTCCTAATTAGCCTGCCTGCCTTAACTGGTTCTAGCAGGTTCCTGATTACTCTAGTGCAGCCCCTGCTCTGGTCACTCAGGGAACAGAAAACTACTCATCCAGTGACCAGTATATTTGCCCTCTACCAGACTCCTGTACCCCATTGGTCTGGGTCTGTCACACTATGTAGAAGGCTAGTGCACGTCTGACAACCAGCGAGTGGAGTCTCTGTTCCTATCTGTTGGCATGTGGCTTCAGATAGAAAGCAGGTAGGAAGATATTCTGGTTACTATGGAATTGCGAGACTACCTTTGGAAGGAAGGCCAATTGTGGCCACATCCGAACCTTGTTCTTGAAGCAGACTGTATAAGGTGCTTCCGACATAAGGGCTTGGATCTCCGAGATCCTTCTAGCAGAAGCAATGGCCACCAGGAAGGCCACTTTCCAGGATAGTTAGAGCAGAGAGCATGTTGCCAGTGGTTTAAATGGAAGACCTGTTAGCCTTGCCAACACGAATTTGAGGTACCAGGGAGGAAGTGGCTGCTGTACCTGGGGGTACAATCTCTAGGCCCTTAAGGAAATGACTACAGACAGTTTGAGAAAACAGAACAGCCATTCACCCATGGATGGAAAGCTGAAACTGCCGCTAGATGAACACTAATAGATGACAATGCTAGGACTTCTTGTTTCAAGTGGAGCAAGTAATCTAAAATGAAAGGTAGTGTCAACTGTGTAGGTGAGACCCCTTCTGCACAGACTAGATGAAGAATCTTTTCCACTTTGCCAGGTAGGTGGCTCTAGTGGATGGTTTTCTGCTCCTAAAAGCACTTCCCCGAACCAGTCCAGAGCATGCTAGCTCTGCAGTGTTGATCCATGGAGCTTCCAGGCTGTGAGATGAAGGGATTTGAGGTTCGGATGACAGAGACTGTCATGGTCATGGGAGATCAAGTCTGTTTGGGAGTTTTAACAACAAAAACTTATCAGTACAAGAGGGCTTCTTTCAAATACATGGCTAGAACATGTCAAAACATGAGTTGTTTTATGTGTATTGAGGAGGAGGAGATGAGCCCTTTCTTTGGTAAATTAGAACATGTCCTCAAAACTGTTCTCAATAACAGGGGGGGGGGAGGAAGAGAAGAGAGACAGAGGGAAGGGGAGAGGATTGAGAGAAAGGAGTTGCTATGATGGCTGATTAAAAGAAGGAACTGAGGGGGCGCTGGGTTGGCAGGGGCATATATCTGGCGCCATAAGGACGCCACTCCAGGGGGCGCCTCAGCCGACCCACTGAGTGTTGCTAGGGTAAAAATCTTCCGATGATTGTGCACGCGGCGCACACCTAATTGGAATTGATATGAGCAAGTACTCTAAGAAGAAAATCCTCTTACTGTTCTTTTATAAACAACTTCTTCATTGCAGAAGGCTAAAAAGGACAATGTCCCATTTTACCTGTATGATCATTACCCAAAGAAAGGAGTGGCCTTTCAGACTGAGATTAAACAGGACACACAGACAGACACAAAAACCCACAAAAAAGTTTTAAGACACCATTAAAACTGAACCACAAGTCATAGTTTTGCTAGCCTCACTTGAATCATTTTGCTCCAAAACCACTCTGGAAAAACAGAATTTATTATTCCTACCAGATTTAAAAATATATATATATATATATATATATATATACACACACACACACACACACACACACACACACACACACACACACACCTGTGCACATGTTTCTTCGGGTGATGTGGTACTGATTCCAAACAGAACTGAGAGATCCAATGTGTACACCGTGAACTTTTCCAAAGCATGTATTACTGCTGGTGCCAAATGAGAGCCCTGTCCAAAACCGGGCTCTCCAACTATCAAGAGCCTTGGTCTGTAAGATGTTGGCTGACGATAAGCACTTCTAAAACAAGAATTGTGAAATCAGGACGTTTTAAATAATTAAAAAAACCCAAGAACTAAAAACAAAAAAAATTTCCATCAATGTATGAAAGCATAGGTGTTGAGTCTCTCTCTACCATAATTTTAGAATACAAATAAATAAATCTGTACTGTCAACAATTCTACTTATTTTCTTACATAAGGCATCAGATATACCAGAAAAAAATAGTAAAGCTGCAATAGTATAGGTTATGGATTACAGTAAATACATATACTTACTGTACCTCTATCACAGATTTGTTTTTATTTCATTCATTCCTCTTGTTCAGTCTTTCCACATAGTTTGGTCGTTAATCTAATACAGTCAGCAAAGTCTTTCCAGTTCCTTAATTGTTTTGTTCTTCTGAACCATGTTTCTGAGTGTAATACTGGTTTTTGCAACCATACTATTAATGCACTTAATGGCTAGAATCTTTGACATGAAATAGGTGTACATCTTTAAGTTCCGTAAATTAGAACATCTCCTCAACCACCATAGTAATAGGAATTTGGCAGTATCTCTCACTGAAATGACTGGTGGTCCAACCCAAACTAAGACTCCAAAAAAATATGTCTTTTCAAACAAGTTTTTGATGATTCTCATAATAAATCAGTAAAATTGATTATATTTTTTAAAAGATTAGCATAGCCGTTGTCAAATTAAATAGCAAATTACATAACAGAAGGGGGAAAAAAAATATGTTAGTTACAATGGAATATATAAACTTGGAAACTAAAAGTATAAAGGCATCAAAAATGTCTAAGAAAACTACCAATGTGATTTAGAGACAGGCCAAACTACATACATGATTGAGATCTAAAGTAAGGTGCTCCAAGGGGCGAGTGGAATGAATCTCCAAATCTCTGTGCCCCAAGCTTGAGAATCTCCTTGAAGGATTAGGGGCCTTTTCCCCTAAATTTGGTCAGTTCTAATCAGATGATACTTTACAATTTTATCTGCTTGTTTCTATGTTTATTTCTGGCAAAGACTGGTGCAAGAATGCAAAACCCTTCCCCCACCCAAAAAAGGAAACAAAACCCAGAACATCTCCCTTGCACCAAAGGATTCAGCAGCCTAAATCAATTTGAAGATCAAAAAGACAAGTACCTGTTAAAATTAAGGACATTTGCTTTCTGCTTATTATGTGTTTTCTGGGAAAGCGGATTTTCAAACACTGAAGGCACTTCCTCATCACTATACATTAAGTCACTTTCTAAAATAGGACTTGCAACATCTGAAAAACAAAGAAGTTCGTTAACTCTCCTGGGAACTTTGTATCACCAACTTGCAAAGAAAAAAGTTTTATTCACAATTCAACATACTAGTCTGTGGTGGTTTATTCAATCCAAAGACAATAATTTTAAAACACTTTAGAGAAACAGCCATTAGTCTGGTAGCACATGTAATTCTGTGGGCAAGTTAATGATAGAAAGAAAGTGGTGTCATTTCATTAGTAAAATTCTACAGAAAAAATTTCAGTGGTGTCACCCTCTGCAACATGGCGGGGGGGACTTGCTGCCCCCCAGCTTACAGCTCCAGGTCCTCTGGTCGGTGGTAATGGGTCGAGTTTGGTATCATGCGAAAGTCCTTTCTACATAAACACAATGGTACCAAACATGACAAACCTAAAACAACTGTGTAGATATATATTCAAGAAAATGTTTTCTTTTAAAAAAAATCACTTAAAAAAAAAAATCAATCAGGTAAGTTCTGAGCATTAGCTGATAACACAGTACTGTCAGTCAAGGGCCACATTTTAACTTTGTGAGGGCTACATGTTTGACAGGCTTGTATTAAAATTATAATTTTAATGTTACAGAATACTATAAATGGAAAGAGTGCTTCAAGTAGGGAAGTCAAGCGATTAAAAAACGTAATTGCAATTCATCATGCTGTTAATAATAGAATACCATTTATTTAAATTTTGGGATGTTTTCTACATTTTCAAATATATTGATTTCAGTTACAACACAATACAAAGTGTACAGTGCTCACTTTATTTTTTATTACAAATATTTGCACTATAAAACAGTATTTTTCAATTCACCTAATACAAGTACTGTAGTGCAATCTCTTTATCATGAACGTTGAATTTACAAAATGTAGAATTATGTACAAAAAATAGCTGCATTAAAAAATAAAATAAAATCCACTCAGTCCTATTTCTTGTTCAGCCAATCACTCAGACAAGTTGATTTACATTTGCAGGACAGCATGCTGCCTGCTTCTTGTTCACAATATCACCTGAAAGTGAGAAAAGGCGTTCGCGTGGCACTGTTGTAGTCGGCGTCGCAAGATATTTACGTGCCCGATACTCTAAAGATTCATATGTCCCTTCTTGCTTCATCCACCATTCCAGAGGACATGCGTTCATGCTAATGACAGGTTCTGCTCGATAGCAATCCAAAACAGTGTGGACCGACGCATGTTCATTTTCATAATCTGAGTCAGATGCCACCAGCAGAAGATTGATTTTCTTTTTTTGGTGGTTCGGGTTCTGTAGTTTCCACATCGGAGTGTTGCTCTTTAAAAAGACTTCTGAAAGCATGCTCCACACCTCGTCCCTCTCAGATTCTGGAAGGCACTTCAGATTCTTAAACCTTGGGTCGAGTGACATAGCTATCTTTAGAAATCTCACATTGGTACCTTCTTTGCGTTTTGTCAAATCTGCAGTGGAAGTGTTCTTAAAATGAACAACCGGTGCTGAGTCATCATCCGAGACTACTATATTTCATGTTATATGGCAGAATGCAGGTAAAACGGAGCCGGAGACATACAATTCTCCCCCAAGAAGTTCAGTCACAAATTTAATTAACGCTTTTTTTTTTTTTTTTTAAATGATCATCAGCATGGAAGCATGTCCTCTGGAATGGTGGCTGAAGCATGAAGGGGCATACGAATGTTTAGCATATCTGGCACATAAATACCTTGCAATGCCAACTACAAAAGTCCCATGCGAACACCTGTTCTCACTGGTGACATTGTAAATAAGAAGTGGGCAGCATTATCTCCTGTAAATGTAAACAAAGTTGTGTGTCTTACCGATTGGCTGAACAAGAAGTAGGAATGAGTGGACTTGTAGGCTCTAAAGTTTTGCATGGTTTTATTTTGGAGTGCAGTTATGTAAGAAACAAAAAATTCATACGTTTGTAAGTTGTATTTTCACAATAAAGAGATTGCACTACAGTACTTGTATGAGGTGAACTGAAAAATACTATTTCCTTTATCAATTTCACAGTGCAAATATTTGTCATCAAAAATAATATAAAGTGAGCAGTGTACACTTTGTATTCTGTGTTGTAATTGAAATCAATATATTTCAAAAAGTAGAAAAACCATCCAAAAATATTTAATAAATTTCAATTGGTATTCTATTGTTTAACAGTGTGATTAAAACTGCGATTAATCACGATTAATTTGAGTTAATCACGTAAATTAATGGCGATTAATCGACAGCCCTACTTCAAGGTGATTTGCCATCAAGGACAAAAAAGAAGTGATTCAGTAGTATTGCTTATGATCTTTATTAGGTCAAGAGTTGTGATGAGGCACTGGTTAAGACATTAGCATCCAGCCAGAAATTACTGGAATCCACCCACAAATGGTATGCACATAGTTACATAACAAACAATTAATTACAATCCCAAAGAAAATTTATAACAAAACCCTTGTTTTTGCTTTGGTCTTGATCATTTTTAGGCATCAACAGGGAGACAAAGAATACTGACTGGTAGCTGAATCTTTGGAGAATACTATCAGAGGGGACCTGATTAAACACAATGCTCATGGCACCTTACATGGTATAAAAAGTGCACCCATAAGCTGAATTTGGCAAGGTTGTAAAGGAAGTACAATCGAACATCACTCCAGGACAAGTACCAGCTGTGGGCAAGACTCCATTCTGTGTGTTTTGAGAAGAAAACCTGCTTCTTCTGCACTACGCTGGAAGCCCAAAGGCATCCATTAAGCATAGTTTCAACATGTGAGACAGTAAGAAATTGTATGAAGCAGTGACTCTCAGGTGAGAACATTCCACAAAAAGAGTTAAGTGTGTGCATTGACCCAAAGACACCCATGAATATGACATTGAGTGCTACACCAAGAACATACGTAACGTGTTGCATGAAAAGGTAAAAGCAACAGAAAAATACTGATTTTATTACTGCGAACTGTGCAACTCAGATGGAGTTTATAAACTGCATTTCAGAGGTTCTAATGGATGGGAAAGTAGTAGCAATGGCCAATGCAGAGGCTAAGTACAGAGAAATACGTGCTTTGAATGGCACTGAAGAGGAACAAATGGTTAGCAGAAATGCTCTTAAAGCACTTATTGAAGATGAGCTGTGGGATATGGATGTAGTTTTTAGTAATCCTATCTGCAACAATGAATCACAGTACATATCCTTAAAAGCCCCAAAAGCCATGGTAGTGAAAGTGCTTATGTCAATAGTAATACATCATTTTTTCCTGACAAGAGAAGACTCTGTTTGCAACTACCAAATGTTTTATGGAAAAGCATTTTGTCCTGCAGTTTGTGGCAGTTTTAGGAATCCATACCCGATGCCAAACCTGAAAAAAATAATACATGTGACCTGTACTGCTACAGGTCTGTCGCATCTTACACACATTTAACATGCGCAATTTAGCTTTACGTGGTCGGCAAAAACGACAATTTTAATACTGTACCTGTAGTGTGGGCGATTCCGCCCACCATTACACTCAATGTAATTCTGACTATATGCGATTTTCACTTTACACGCTGACTGCGGAACGTAACCCCAGCATAAGATGCGACAGACCTGTACTTTAAATGGTGCATTGGTGGTTGCAATGACTTCAGCACCAGCAAAACATGACAGTAAGCAAGTGGAGTACAAGAGTTTCATTTTATCACAAAGCCTCATGCATGAGTGCTTGAGTAAAAGACAGGTTTCCAATACACACACCGAGGCATATGCATAATCTACCACTACAAGTGGCCATTGGTTTAACAATTAATTCCAAAACCTATAATAAATTCCTTGTGCAGTTTATGCACAGCATTGCTGTAGTCTGTGGAGGAACCAAAGTACTCTGTCTGGAGACTACAATTGCAAACAAGGTTCTTTGCCACATGGAATTCAATGACGGGTTGTACATCCCTCTAGACCTCATCAAGGGTAGTTTTATATTTTGTCCTGCCGATTACTTAGACTTCCTTGATAGCAAAGGTACCCTCCATGCTACGTTATGGTCTGCTATCAGGAGCATATTAATGAGGATCAGTCCGTCAATTTCTCTCTGAACCAGCAAAGAACCGTTCCTTGAAGTAGCTTCCTGACTTCATGACTCACTCACTTTCTTATCAAGGTCCAATAATTCTGAAGCCAATAAGTCCAGTTTTCAATGAAGCAGTAGCTAAATTGACTACAGTAGAGCTTTCTACATTCACTAACCTTGTTAACCTTCCCAGAGTTATTGTGAATGTTAGTGGGAGTGTATCCCACTAACATTCACAATAACTTTGTTATTGTGCAGAAATGGGATGGACTCCAGAGGCAAAAAATTACTAAGTATGGCTTCAGCTGAAGAGATAGAAGATGTACCCTCAAATGTTCCAGACACTCAGGCCATACCATACTACATCATTTCAGGAGAAAGGTATATTCCACTATGGGGTCAGCCTTTAACTCAGCAATCCACGAGGTGCCGTAGCAAATGACTGTGTATGTATCCTACCAATGATACCTGCTAGCCCCACTGATCACGCAGTTCAGTTAACATTCCTTATGCAGATGGAATGCATGAACAAATACAACTGCTACTCCTGGGGGAATTCTGAGCCACTGCGCACATACAGAATTCATGTCCCACGCAGAATTTTTTTTCTCCACAGAAAATACGTACTGCTGGAGAAGTGCTACAGTTACACCTTTTGCCCACCAGGAGTTGCTGTGGCGCTAGAACAGGCAGGAGCAGCCCCAGCTGCAGATAGAGAAGAGGCTGCATTCCTCATAGCATCTTGCCCATGGGGCCAGTCAGGAGGCACAGGACATGGGAGGACTGGACAGCGTAGGACACATGGTGGAGGGGAGGGGGAAAAGAGACAGACTGGGTGGGAACACTTCATTCAGAGGCTACAGAGAAAATACTGGACTGTGAAGAAGTCAACCTCATGTTTGATATGTATGCAGAGGAATCAATTAAAAATATCACTGGAAAGAAGAAGTGACTTCATGGTATTGCATCTGTCCAATACAAAAATCAATGACTCCATGAACATCTCCAATGTCACAGTGAAGAAGCTAGTGTCTCATACTTGCATGAAGGACGAGTTAATCACATACCTTGCAATAAAAATGCTCCAACATATGAAGAATTGCTTGACAATTTTGTCGTCACATGGCATAATGAAGCTGCTGACTTGTGCTGTTCAGTGAAGTTTCTTTGTTGGTTCCCATGAGGAGGCTGACACTAAAATTTTCTTGACTGCCATCAATGCCACAGAGAGATGTGCTACTAAACTCCGGATTTTTGCACAAGACACAGATGTTCTAGTGCTCTCTGAGAGAGACTACCCAAGACTTCCGCAAGATTCTGTTTTTGTGCTGCTGGGGAATGGAATTGCTGTATATCCCTCAGAGATGTGTTCCTAGCACTCTGACCATTGAAAGCCGCTCTTTCAGGATACGACACTACTGGAAGGCTGACTGGAAAGACCAAATTATCTTGCTGGAAAGCATTTGATTCAGCCTCTGAAGAGACTCTCCTCACTCTAAAGGTGCTTGTAATGGCAGAGACCGTCAAATGCACTGGAGGAGTTCATATGTTGAGTTTATCATTTGAAGACCAACATTATGACACATGCAGAGCTACATTGGTGGATGTTTTCTAAGAAGCAGACAAACAGAGAAAAATTGCCCCCAACAAGGGGAGCATTTATACCTGCTGCCAAGAGGGCAAATCATCAAGCAATGGAATGGCTCCGGGATGACTCAGAGCATCCAAAACTATCCTCCTTTATCAGGCATGGATAGGTCTGATCACACCAATTGTGTGTGAAATACCACCTACTCCTGGAATTAATTCTGCAGCTACTCAAATGCTTGTGTGCAAAGAACAGATGCTCACCATCCTGCAAATGTTTAGTCAGCAGCCTGCCTTGTACAGAGATATAGAATCATAGAACTGGAAGGGACCTTGAGAGGTCATCTAGTCCAGTCCCCTGCACTCAAGGCAGGACTAAGTATTATACCACCCCTGACAGGTGTTTGTCCAACCTGCTCTTAAAAATCTCCAATGATGGAGATTCCACAACCTCCCCAGGCAATTTATTCCAGTGCTTAACCACTGA